TCCATCTGGATTTTCTGTCTGTGTCTAAGGAAGGGGTGGGTGGGCTGCAAGGGTGTCCAGCTAGGGGACCTCATCAGGAGCCAGAAAACTGGCATCAGCCAGAGCAGACCTGCTCACTGGCCCCAGTGCCTGCCTTCCTGAAGGTCAGCCACTGAGTGTTGGCCCCCGTAGGCCTTTCTCTTGTCATGGAGACAAGAGCCAGACGCTGAGCAAACATTCCAGCTCTGGGCCCCTCTCCCAAGGAGACTCAAGGTTGTGTCTTGTCTGGCCTCCTCCTTCCTGCTATTGCCTCCTCCCTCCTAGCCAGCCCAGAGGCTCAGACCTGTCTCCCCGAGGCCAGGAGGAGAGAAACTACATTCCTGCTCCTTCCCTTCAAAGGAGCCTCTCTCCACCTTTTCTTTTAATTTTTTTTTCTTTATTGATTTTAGAGAAAGAAGGGAGAGAGAGATAAAAACATCGATGAGAGAGAGCATGGATTGGCCGCCTCTTGCATGCCCCTCACTGGGGATCTGGCCCGCAACCTGGGCATGTGCCCTGACCAGGAATCAAACCAGCGACCTCTTGGTGCATGGGTCGATTCTCAACCACTGAACCATACTGGCCGGGCTCTCTGCCTTTTTTTTAATGGATCTCACAGGGAAAGAAAGTTGAGGGAAAATCCAGGTTCCTATACCTAAACTGGCCGCTCCCGGATTCCAAAGCCCCAGGGCTCCCTGAACACCACAGTGGGACTATAGCTCTTTTACTGGCCCCAAGCTCCTCCCTGTAGCAGTAGCAGGTGTTGTGCCAGATGCTGTCAGGACTATGTGGGGGGACCCACCCCAGTAAGCACTGTAGCATGGTGCACCCCATATTGGCCCTTTAGGCAGGAAGCAGTAGTGGAAACCAGACACGTTGCTAGTCTCTGATTTGCATGCAGACCCTCCTCCCACCACCACCAATGGTCAGGCTGTAGCCCTGTCCTCCAGTCCTGGCCACAGGTGAGGCCTTAAAGGGCCAGAGAGGTTACTGTTTACTGTTCCTGTGAGGTCATAGGTTATGTCACGGCCATCCCTCTATGCCTCCACCTCCTCTGGCTGTGGTACTCAGGACAGTTGGGAGGGCCATGAGCAGAATGGCAAGGCTGTTGGAGCCACCTGGGCATCTCCCCCATACACTTTGCTAACCAACTTGGCATCAGCTCCTCCATCGCCGAACTTGTAGTCAGTGGTCACAGCTCACTTCACCAGCCCTCCGGGTTCCTCTGAAGCTCAGAGGACCACACTCCCAGTTCGCAAGCCATGGGTACAGAAGGAACGAGGATCATAACTCCTTCTAGACTGTAAGTCTTCAGCACACAGAGAGTACCTGGTCACCTCAAACGGGGCCCTTGTGAATAAACACCACAGGCGGGGACAGCTCAGGATCGCCCATGCAGCCACCCTGGGCACCTGCCCACAACCATCGCCACCACAGATCCGGACCTTGTGATGACTTAGGAACCCAGGCTGGCAGGCGCTCCCAGTCTCCCCTGGGCCCACCTTCAGAGGCTGCCACCAGGTGGTGGAGACTGCTTAGAAGCTGGCTGAAGGCCACTGATACATATTCCAAAACTTAATGTGTTCTCAGGGCCCAGCTCACCCTCACCTTCTGGCTGCTTCAGGTTCTAAACTAGACCAGCTTCAGGGCAACCACTCATTAGCTCAGATGCTTCCACGGCAGAGGGTCACCTTGCTCCTCCAACCATCTTCAAGCCCCTGAAGACTCCTGGGTTTCCCTGGATCCTGGATAAGAGCTAGGATGGCCCTTCCCCAGACTATGCCGCCAACCCTGGTAACCAGGGCGAGATGACTACATACCCTGGAGCTTCTGTCTCCTCCCTCTGGGAGCACCTCTTTAGCCCTGGGCGGACAGGATGACAGCACCCGCCTGGCAGCCAGAGGGCCTGACTCTGCCATGCTTCACCCTGACGCTGGCCAGCTGCCCCTCCCTGGGCCTCTGCTCCCCGAGCCTGTTGCCTTTGCCCAGCAGCCTTCCTGCCACAGGCAAGGAGAAAATCCAGTGTCCAATCTCCAGGCAGCCAGAGGACTGGGCCAGGCGACTGAAGCCGCTGGGATCCTCAGCCGCAGCGGGGAGTCACAGGGCCAACTCTTGGCTCAACTGTGGAAGAAGGAAAGTGGATACCTGCACTGCCCTTCACTTCTTTTTTTTCTCTGATTCCCTTGCCCTCCCCCAGCAAGTCTGAATGCAAACATAAGCTCTACCATTTGGTGGCTTTGTGCCCCTGGCTGAGTCATTTCACCACTCAGAACCTTGGTTTATCTAGACCCATAAGATAATGACAACTCACAGAGTTTCAAGGAAGGAGTGAGATCACCTCTGAAGAGAGCCTGTCCCAGTGCCCAATGAACACATGGCCCTCCATAAATGGGCCTTCTTCCTTTCCTCTGCCAGACAGTTTCCAGCCCCTGCTCTCTTTCTATGGCAGATGGAAACTTCTGGGCACAAGTTTCCAACTGGGGATCAGGTGCGCAGCACAGAGCTACTGTCAGAAAGGACAAGGCTTAACCTATGGCAAGGTGGGGCTTCCACAGCAGGGGGTGTATTTCTGTCTAGCAGGTAGCCTTTCTGGGCACCTCCCAAATCACAACCCTGTGCTTGACTGTCCTCACACACAGGGCTGACTCTAGAATTCGTGAAAAGATTTGCTGCTCCAATTTGCAGAAATAGTAGTGCCTGGCTTGGGGAGTGGGGCAGAGGGCAGCTAGATGTTTTCCCCGGAGAGCCACAAGGCCCCCAACCCAGCCTCCTGTTGACCAGCCTTCTTCTCCTGCTCCAGCCCCCTCCCAGCCCCACATCCTCCCTTTCCCCATCCCAGAACATCTGGTTCCAATCTCTTCCAGATGCTGTGACCAAGCTGTTTTATGGCCAATCGCCTCAGTTCAGCTTCCTGAAGACCTCCCTCCATCTTGGGGAATGGTCCCTTCTTGTCCCTTTCCTTAGGACCCCAGCCACCTCTTTTCCCAACATAGAAAAGAGACACATACCAAAGCCAGATGAAACTGTGAGGGTCCTCAGAGCAGGCACCTCCCCTCCCACTATGTGGTGGTGCTCAGGGGAGCTCTTATCCATCCAGAATTCAAAGACTCCGGCCCAGGAGGAAAGGAATGGGGGGTGGGGGGAGCGAGCGAGCTGGGGGCATTAGTGCATGTGGTCATGTGTACGTGTTGGCCGTGTCTATGTGTCTGTACCTATACATCAGAACCCCGACCTGTAACTCAGAGGTGCCCCTTGGTGGCCACCACCTCATTTCCCCTCCCTACCTGCATGGGAGCCAGGCTAACTCGGGGCCTCTGCAGCCCAAGGTTGTGCCTCACCTTTCAGCTCTCTGTGACTACCGAGGCTGCCTTCTAAATCCAGCCCAAGGAGGGTGTGTGTGTTCCCATGCAGACCTTTCTCCTACCGGGCCAGAAGGAACCCTAGGGCAGACTCCACCAGATGCCCTAACCCAGCCTGGTCTGACGGGCACCTGTGGCAGCCCAGAGCTGGTGTGTGCCAGAGAGCAGCCATCTGGAGAGAGGAAGGAGGAGCAGGCTCTCTGGAGGAAACCTGCATGCTCACTCCCCCCAGCCCCATCCACACTGCCATAGCTGGCCACTTTCATCCCCCACTAAAAGGACATTGGGAGCCAACCTCCCTTCCTAAGAAACCCAGAAGGATTAACACAAGGAAGGCCAAAGCCTGCGCCGCACCCCTGTAGGACTCTGAAAACCCCTCAGTGGGGGGAGTTAGAGGATCCTGCTCAGAGGTGAAAGGATAGACCCTGGTGGTCACTCCTGGTCGTGGGAATCCTGGGCTCCAACTGCTGCCAGAACCACTTTAAATAAGCCGCGTGGGCATTTGCGACTCCACAGCACCCCCTGGTGTTCTTCAGGAACTAGGACCGGCCTTGGTCAGTCAGAGGAGGTCCTCCAGCATCTGTGGGGAACCTTTTTCCTGCCAAGGGCTCTTTGGATATTTACATCATTCGTGGGCCATACAAAATTATCAACTTAAAAATTATCCAGCTATATTTGGTCAGGCTGATTTGGTGAGGCGTGTAATGTTAGCTAGCACTGATTTTGAGGGCCTCACATGGCCCGCGGGCTGGATATTCCCCACCCTGCAAGAAGGCCCGTCTGAGATGGGCCCTGCTTGTGTCTTACTATCTCAGGTGGCCTTGGCACACACTAGGGGACACAAGGCAGTAAGATTGTAGCTTCTGATTCAAATCCTGGTCACTGTTATCTACTGACTGGAAGAGATGGGCAAGCTTTTTGACTTCTTCGTGTCTCCGTTTCTTCATCTGTTAAATGTGAATACAGTACAGAGCCATTGTGAAGACTAAATGAGCTAATGTGTGAAAGCACCTCGTGTGATGCGTGACATATAATAGGCCCTCAGGAAGTGGTCTTTGCCCTCCAGCTTTCCTTCCTAGCCCTAGGAAGCTCTGGGTGACGAATGCTCATTGGCCCTACACCAGGCAGTGTCAGGGAGGTGACTTTAATTTTTCTGGAGCTTTTCCACTCCAGCAGAGGATCATTTTAATAAGTCCATAATAAAAGACACAGAGGTGACTCAGATCTGCAAAAGAGGAGCCCTGCTGGGGAGGGGACAGGAGCTCTAGGGGAAGAAACTCAGTGGCATTTTGGTCTGATGCTGCAGGGGGAAGGGCTCAAACGGGGGCCTGGGGACCTTGGCTGGGCCTCCAGATTGCTGCAGATTCTCTCCCAAGAGGCCTCATTTCCCCTTCTGCAAAGTGCAGGTCAGCTCCAAATGACCAGCCCAGTCCCCTTCGAGCTGGAGATGTGGCTCTGCTTCCTGAGCCCCGCATCCACAGCAGATTCGGAACACTCTTGGAGATAACTGCTGGTGGCCTGTCCTTGGCGCGTCACCAGGAAGTTCCTCTGTGAGCATATACTTTGCCCACCTGCACTCCCAGAGCCCAAGGAGAGGCAGGGCTCTCAGGCCATGGTGGTTTATTTATTGGTACACATTGCAAGCACAGCACAGGCAGGCGTGCCCCCGCCCGGGGCAGACAGGAGGCCAGGGGAGGGCAGCGGGCCACCCCTGCAGCAACGCTGCCAGCAGAGGGGGAAAGGCCTGAGGGCCCAGGTCCTCTCCTTCTTCATGCATCTCCCAGGGCCCCCAGACCTGATCTGTGCCACAGAGACAGCTGATCACACCACTCCGTGGCCACAGAAGAGGCGACCAGCTGTTTCACCTGCCCCTTACTGAGATATGGCCTTGTTGGCCTGCCAGTCCTTTCTGTCCTTTATCACAGAAATCCAGTTGTCACTGTGGAGGCTGCTCTCCTCCACCTGACATCACCTCCATCATCCCCAAACAGCTAGTTTCCTCCTCCATCAATACCTCTCCTTGTCACCCCACCTGGTCTGCGTGTCTCAGGGGGTCTACTCTCACCACCCTGGTGACCCATAAAAAAGTAAGAAACAAGTAAAAACACTGTTAGGCCCAGGAAAGTCTCCAACAGGAGCTCCCCAGGGAAGGGCTCTCCGACAACAGGCTAGAGGGGAGTGCAGCCGTGCCAGTGGGCGGGGGCAGGGGGACAGGTGGGCGGCAGGGAAGCCACAGTCCAGATCACACACAGGCACAGTGCAGTCACAGCACCGTGGCAGGGAGCTAGCAAAGTTCACAGCCAGGTGAGTGCCGGGGCTCTGTGGAAAAGCCTCAGGTCTGGGTCCACACCAGGTCCCCTCAGGACAAGAGGCAGCCCACTCCCAGCTTAGAAAGGGGTCCCTCTGGGTCTCAGGGGTCTCTCCCCCTCTTCAACCCCAGTAGCTGCCATTCTAGGCCCCAGTGCTCTGAGCAAAGGAAAGGTCCCCTGGGGTCTATATTATCTCTAGAACAAAGGAAGGGGGCAGCTCTCCCCATGCAGGAGAAGGGGCTGGGGAGCAGGAAGTCACAGCAGTGCAGGAGACTATTTATAGAGGGAAAGGCCAGGTCTGGAGTGGGAAGCCCCCAGGTCCAGCTGACCAGGGAGGGGCATCCTGTGGTCATCCTGAGTGGGGTGGGTGGGGCTAAGGAAGAGCACCCCACAGCTCTCTGTGTGCCCTCTGGAGGCAGGCAAGCTACATGTGGACTTTGGCCTAGAGAGGCTTCCCCAAAAGAGCCTGAAGGCCACAAGCCTCCATGAGATGGAGGCCTGGAATAAAGCATGTAATAGCAGGACAGGGAAACCAGAGGAAAGGGGAAGTCTCCAGAATCCAACCCCCCCCACCACCACCACCACCTTACTGAAGCTAAGAGCCTTTCCAAGTCTACCAGGCATGGGTGGGCCACACCTACCAAGGGGCCCACCCTCTGTTGCCTCTAATACCAAGGGGTGGAAGAGGGGGGAACTGATAGTGTGGAGAGGGTAGGCGGGCAGGGGAGAGAAGGCAGCTCCCTGAACTTTGTCACCCACCACCACCCGCCCGTCATTTCTCCCTAGCCCCCAGCTCTCCTGGAGTCCCTAGCGGCCCACGCTGATGTTGCAGGTCTTGCAGCTGGGGTCTTTCTTGGCGTCGGCAGTGGACAAGCTCATGAGCTGGTGGCCACTGATCTCCCCCAGGGTGCCCAGGGACAGGTCGACGGGCTCAGTATAGATGATTTCCAGGATGAGGTCCTGGGCATGGCGGAAGACCAGCTCCCCATCCTCCACGCTGCAGGTCAGGAACTTGTTGCAGGCAATGTCCAGAAGGGGCAAGCGGTCTCGGCAGAAGTGGTCCCCCAGGGAGCCCTTGGGGGCCAGCACCAGGATGGCGTAGTGGTAGGCTGTGTACATACAGTAGAAGTCCGCAAAGTAGAGGTTGGTGCTGGGGTTGAAAAGGCGCTGGGCAGGGATCTGGAAGCGCCAGCGGCCGTAGGGGGAGTCTTGTGGGGGCTGGCCTGTGTTGAACTCCGTGTTGCAGCTGAAGAAGACCCCATGGAGCATGCCGCTGGTTGGGGAACCATGGCTGCCACTGTTGTCCTTCAGGTAGGGCTGCAGCATGTTCCCGCAGTGGGTCCTACCCACCCCAGGGACAATGCCAAAGAGAAGAGAAAACGCCACTGGTTAGCTGGGCTGAGGCTTGGCTGCTGTATGTGGTGAGAAGGAGCCAGCCCAGTTCCCAGCTCTCCCACCAGCCGCCACCTCCACCCGTCACAAATAGAACATTCCAGAATGCAAGAGCAGGGAGGGCCCTGGAGATGGGCTGATTAAGCCCACTCTTTCACAGAGGAGAGGCCTGAACCTGCTGTTCCCCAGCATAAAACCCTTTGATGGAGCTTGAGTGAAAAGCAAGGCCATCACAATCTGGTCTTTCTGGCTCCACCTCCTGCCACCCCCACACCCACAGCTGACATCCTCCAGCCCCATGGGAGCCCCACCCAGCTCTTCCCTGCCTCTGCATTTGCAGTGCTCTGCCCTCTGCCTGGACTTCCCTTCCCATCTTTCTCCACTTGGCCTGACAAACACCTGTTCATCCTTCAAGGTCTTTTCCCTCTCCAAAACCTTCCAGGGGCCTGGCCGGTTTGGCTCAGCGATTAGAGCATTGGCCTGTGGGCCAGAGAGTCCCGGGTTCAGTTCCTGCTAAGGGCACGTACCTCGGTGGCAGTTTGTCCCTGGCCCCGGTTGGGGTCATGTGGGTGGCAACCGCTCGATGTGTCTCTCTCACATCGATGTTTCTCTCTCTCTCTTTCTCCCTCTCTCCCTCCCGCTCTATCTGAAGATAAATGCAAAAGTGTCCTTGGGTGAGGATAAAAAATTTTTAAATAAATAAATAAAACCTTCCAGGAACATCAGGCACTTGCACTCAACAAAATTTTGACTGCCTACTATGTGCAGGACACTGAATTTACTCAATGATCACACACACTTATTATTTTCCATCCATCAGTGCTGTCCCCCAACAGACTCTGAGGTTTGCAAAAGGGGTACGGACTCTGCCTTTATTCCTCTTTATATCCTGGCAGCCATGGGTGCTCTCTGTCTCTTTCTTTCTTTCTTTTTTTTTTTTATCCTCACCCGAGGACATTTTTGCATTTATCTTCAGAGAGAGCAGGAGGGAGAAAGGGAGGAAGAGAGAGAGAGAGAAACATCGACGTGAGAGAGACACATCAGCTGGTTGCCACTCACATGACCCCAACTGGGGCCAGGGACAAACTGCAACTGACGTACGTGCCCTTAGCAGAACCGAACCCGGGTCCCTCTGGTCTGCAGGCCGACGCTCTAACTGCTGAGCCAAACTGGCCAGGGCTCTGTCTCTTTCTTGCTTTCTGATAGAGAAACCCAAACTGGGCCAGTGCCCTAACCACTCCCCTGACTTTCTCCTCCTCAGTGAAAACACCAAAGGCCCTCTAGGCCCTCACTGCCCTGGGGTAGGGTCAGAGTGAAGCAATGACGAAGACAGTAGTGGTGGTGGCTTGTCCTGGCCCAGCCTTAGAAGGACATAGACTTGGAGCAGTGTCAGCAGTCATGGGGGAATGGGCAGCCCTGATCTAGCCTCACTCTTGCCTGGTCCTGGCTGTCCTAAGTGACTGGTGAATTGCTGGCCCTCTGGGTCTCAGGCTCCCCTTGTGTCTGCTGAGGGTGTTGGATGATATCATTGATTAGATCAAGACTTTTTGGATGTGGCCCTGGCCGGTGTGGCTCAGCAGTTGGAGCACTGCCCTGCAGACCAAAGGGTCTAGGTTCGATTACCAGTCAAGGACATGAGTTGCAGGTTTAATCCCCAGCCCTGGTCAGTGCACATGCGAGAGGCAATCAATCCATCAATGTGTCTCTCTCACATTGATGTTTCGCTCCCCCCGCATCTCCCTCTCCTTCCCTTCTTCCCTCCCACTCTCTAAAAAGCAATGAGAAGCTGCTCTGGTTGAATGATAGGTGTGAAGTCCACCAAGCTTCATACTCAGAGCTCCTCAACAACCCCTCAGCACCACCCTGAGAGCTGCCTGAGACACACCCTGGAAACTCCAGGCTGCCCCAGCTGACAGTTTGAAGACCACAACCCTTCATGCTCAGACCCACTCATCTTCTGTGCCCCCCTCACCACTTCCCCTTGGGACCCAGGGCCTGAATTGGAGAGGCAGCTGGCCTGCCGCATTAGAACCCAGTGACAGGAACTACCTCAAAGGAGGGTCCCACCTGGGTCCTCACTCACCCAGGCCTGTTTTCGCAGGTTCCTCAGGCAGCCCCATCCTGAGTGCCCTCTCCTGCCCTGGAGCTCAATCCCAAGACACAAGCCACCCCCCAGAGTCAGCCTGTGATGGGAGGGTGACTCTGTGCAGAGGATCTGGCAAGTGACAAGGATGGGGTGACATCAAGTAGCCTGGGCAGCTGAGGCAGAGCTGGGGAGGACAGAAGGAGCTGGCGGGCCATGCGGGGCTGCGCGCACCTGGCGTGCTGGAAGTACTCCTTGTGATGGTTGCGGTAGAAGACAGAGAAGCGCAGCATGCGGCCCGCGATCTGCTCGGCCTTCTCCTGAAGCTGCGCCAGGTGCTCCTTGGCGTAATCTGCAAGAGTGCAGGTGGGTGAGCTGAGGGCCAGGCAGGGGTCATAGGCCCCTCCACTCCCCTCAACCACATTGCGAACACTAGCCCACCTCTGTGTCAGGGCAGCAGGGACACCAAACATTCACAGAACTTTGGACCACATGGGAATGGGCCAGCTGGATGCTGTCTGTCCTCATCACCTCTGTACCCTCAGTACCAGAAACTCAGACAAGGGCAGGGCTTCCCAGTTACACAATCATGCTGGCCCCCGGGGCTGTAATGCCAGGCCATCCTCGTGCTCGTGTGAAAGGAGGACCACCAGGCAAGGGGAGGGCTGAGAGGGGCAGATTTTGAGGTCCTTTAGGGAGAGCCCTCAAACCCAGCAAGTCGGAGGCTGCCCACACCACCCACAGGGAAGCCAGTTGTCATTACAGGCGGGTCGTGGAGAGAACTGAGGTGAGTGTATAAGCAGACTAGGTCTGGGGCGGTGTCTCCACTTCAGCTTCCCAGGAAAAGCAGAGAAGCCTGGAAACAGGGTAGTGAAATTGGACCCTCCCCAGGGCCAGGGCCAGAGCCCAGAGCCCAGAGGCCCAGGCAGGGCTGCTGTAGCCTAGACAGAGCCTTTGTGTAAATTAGAAAAAGGTGCCCTTTCCTCCTTGCTGATGCAGCCCTGGCCAGGGTACTGGGTTTGGCAAGAAGAATATGGACTGGACTGCAGCCATCCCCAGTTCCCCCTTTCGAATTAAATTCCCACTACATGTGGAATTGTGGGGTAAACTAAGAGACTGTCCCTATAGTGAGAGGGAGCACCTTCAGAGAGTGAGGTGTGCCGCCGAGCTAAGAAAAAACACCACTCAAAAGAGAACGCAGCTCAAGGGCGCAACAAAGAGCACAGACATTGCAGAGGGTGGAGCCAGCAGCCTCAGAGGCCCCGGGCTAAGAGTGTCCCCTGCCCCTTCCGTGTGACAGAGGGAGATCTGGGGCAGTTCTCACCATGGACACCAGAAGAATGGAATACCGTGGGGACATAACCTGGGTCATCAGTGACCAGGTACGCCTGAGCCTGGTGTTTGTGTGTTCATGGAACTTGCAAGCTAATTTCTGCTGAGAGAATTTGTGGGATCACTGAATAAGGACCATTTTCTCAGGCTAAATGGAAGCTCAAGACAAGCAAAATGTGATAATCCACAAAGCATCCATTGACCAATGATAGATAAATAAAACGTGGTCTAGCCACACAAATTGAACATTATTCCACCTTAGGAAGGAAGGAAAGCCCAGTTGGTGTGGCTCAGTGGATTGAGCGTTGTCCCATGACTGACTAAGAGGAAGCACATGCCCAGGCTGCAGGCTCCATCCCCAGTGGGGAGCACGTAGGAGGCAGCAGATCAATGTTTCTCACATCAATGTTTCTCTCTCTCTCTCTCTTTCTGTCCCTCTCTCTCCCTCCCTACCACTCTATCTGAAGACAAATAGAAAAATATCCTCGGGTGAGGATTAAAAATATTAATATTAATAATAATAATAACATTAAAAAAAAGAGCGCTGGTCGGTTTGGCTCAGAGATTAGAGCATCGGCCTGTGGACCAAGGAGTCGCAGGTTCAATTCCAGTCAAGGGCACATGCCTCAGTTGCGGTTAGTCCCCGGCCCTGGTCAGGGTCCCAAGGGACCCAAGGGAAGCAAGCAGTCAATGACTCTCTCTCTCTCTCCCCCTCCTTCCCACTCTATCTAAAGATAAATGGATAAAAATGTCCTTGGGTGAGGTTAAAAAAAAGAAGAAGAAGGAAGGAAATTCTGACACAAGCTATAACATGGATGAACCTTGCGGTCATGACGCTAAGTGAATAAGCCAGTCACAGAGGGGGCAGGGGCAGGTCTCATCTACCGGTGTTGCCCTGAGAGCCTGAGCCTGGAGCTGGTGTACAGCAGGCGGTCACAGTGTCTGTTGTGTTAAAGACAAAGCTCCCTCCTGACCATAACTAAACTGGATGCTCAAAAGCAGCAGAACGGCAGGGCCTCACCTCCGGTGCAGAATTCGACTGTCTCACTCCAGCCGGACACCAGGTACTCCCCGTCGCTCTGCTTCACGGCGGTCTGCACTGCCACGCTGTACTCTGTGCGGGGGCTCAGGAACCAGTGGCCTCTCACCGTCATGGGCAGTGGTACGGCCTTGGCCACAAGCTTTGTGGGGACATCCTGAGACATGGGGTGCAGACCGAGAGCCAAGAGTCAAATTGGGGGTCATGCCCAACCTTGGCATTTCCTCAGACCTCCACCCCCAGGTGGCCCCACACCTCCTGAAAAGGGCCAGAGTCTCAGTGATTCCATGGTTTGGTGTCCTGGCCACCATTTTTCTGCAGAAGCAAGCATTGGCCATTGGGAAGGCCATACAGACACCCCCAGCCTCCACTCCTCCTTAATTCCCTGACGCTTCTTCTCTTGGGAACTGACGAGAAAGGCCACTGGGGTGGAGGCCCACAAAGTTGAGAGCAGCGAGACCTCCATTTTCGAGGGAGACTTCGAGAGCTCTGCACACTGCAGTGCCGTCTCCACGGCAACAACCAATGCTGAGAAGCCAGGGAGGAAGGGAAAATATGCCTTATTCTTTTGGGAGGAGGTTAAGAGGGTGGTGTTGAACATTCACATCACCGTGGCAACTGGCCTGCCAAAAGACACCCAGATCAGGGGAGCCAGTTCCAAAGAGAGAGAGGGTGAGTAACTCACATGATGCTGTCGTCGTGGGAACCAGCTTCTTCCTAACTCACTCTTCCCCCTGCCTCTCTGCCAGCTTAGGAGATGGAAGCCTTCCTCCCACCCACCCCTACTCCAGCCAACAGGGGACTCTCACATTCATTGTCTAAACCCAGCAAACAGGCCAGAGGGCAGGTGCAGACATCACAGGAGCCTGAAGGACCCCACCCTTGCCCACAGCCCATGTTACCCACCCAGTCAACAAAGCATCCCCAGGTGTGATGTCGTGGCCCCCCTGGGTTGTCTGGCCCCTCTGAAGCCCTAGTCACAATGCCGATAACGGTATTCACTGTGCGCTGGGCCCCAAGCCAAATGCCACACAAACATTACCTCACAGAAGCCTCTTACAAGCCTACAGGGGCTGGCATTATTGTTATTCCCTTTTTGCCAGCAAAAGAACTCAGGCTCAGAGAGGTTAAATAACTTTACCAAGATCACACAAGATCACACCAAGAGCCTGGATTGGAATCAGGCTTCTCCAACTCCACACTATCACCTCCAGGCGGGCGTTATCCTGCCTCCTTCCAGAGCAGGGTGGAGAAGACATGCTCTGGGCTCCCTCGCTCACCCGGTGCTTGAATTTGTTGGAGTTCTTATTCTCCTTCTTATTGAGGTCGATGAAGTAATGGGTGACCCGCTCCAGGTCACTGTTCTCCATGGCCCAGGAGATGCGGAAGGAGTCACAGGTGATGTTGTTGACCTCGATGCTGTGGGGTGTGGACAGCAGCTCCATGCTCCCTTTCACTTTGGCTCCTGTGGGGACTAAAAGAAGAGGGAGAATCAGCACCTCCCTTCCCACATGGAGTTTTTTGTTAACATCTTGCTCCCAATATCCCTTTTGAGGTGGGACCTTGAGAGCCATTCATTGTACCTGCCTCAACAAATCTGATGGAAAGGCTGCACGGGTAAGACTGGAGAGGGAGGACTGAAGGTGGGATGGGGCATCTTCCAGGGGCTCTTGGCTCTCCTATGAGGGGTCTGCTGAGCAGACGGCACCTGACAGGTGGCAGAGGCAGTGGGAATGCTGCAAACGCCAGGCAGGACAGATTTGCAGCAGATGGAGCCGAGGAGGGGGCCCTCACTAGCAAGCGTGAAAAGAGAAAGAGGTGGGGGTGGAGAGAACAGTGTGCAGCGTAGGAAAGACAGGAAGCACCCACTGAGGAGATGGGTGTGAGGGTGCAGGCAGGAGGACACCAGTAGCCAAGAGGCCAAGGGTACCAGGGCTCTGGAGGTCTGGCCCCCTCCTCTCTGGGGTGACACAGGGCTGGGAGAGCAAGTGCCATAGAGATGCACATGGCGGGGGGGGGGGGGGATAAGTCACAGACCTTCTCCTATCCATAACTTTTCCACTATCATTCCTTCCCTTGCATTCTTTTTCCACTATCATTCTTTCCTCTGTCACTTGACTCTTTTAAATAATTGGTTTTACCTTTGACATCCATTGCAGCCTGACTATGTGCTGATAATTTCACAAACATCATCTCATGAAAGTTCACAGTAGGCAGGTACTATTATTATCCCTATTTTACAGATGAGGTAGCTGAGGTTTCGGGTACTATGATGCCAAAGGTCACATAGCTAGAAAATGATTTGAACTCAGGTCTGTCTGACTCTGGAGTATGCAAGCCCTTTATCATTAAGCTAAGGTTGTGTTCCTTTATGTGTGTGTGTACAGGTGCACATGACTTTACCACTATTTATTTTTCTTTTTCTGTCCTTTTTTTCAAGCAATGGCATTTTCTCCCACTGCCCCTTCTCACTCCTTCACCCATTCCCCTGGCTGCTCTCCCAGTGTGAAAAGACCACACCACCAGCACTCTCACTTGTGCTTAGCCAGGAAGCAGACTGGCCCTGACTCTGGCCTGGCTCACTGGAGCTCGGGGCTGTGGGGTGGTAAGGTGAGAGAGGGAAGGGGCTGTCTCTGGGACAGAAAAACGAGTGTAGGCTGGACTTTCTCCTGGGACATCGGCTCATACCCAGTTGAGCTCGTGCTTCCAGGTTCTTCCTCAAGCCCAGTCCCAGTACATCTCAGATTTCCGGAGTGTCATCTCCTTTCTCCTCCTTCCCTCTTCTTTCCCTCACCCAAGCACTAAGGGTAAGGGTACCTTGTGCCTTCAAAAGCAGGTACTTCTATTTATAGCTTCCAGAAGATTCAACCCACACTTTCCTGTCAATTAAGACTGCTCTGGATTCTGGCACCTCTAAATTAACCCATGGGCTGCCTGGGTGGCTGGCACAGGGCAAAGAATATGGGCGATGGCCCTTACCTGTCCCAAGGTGTTACCTGAGTCCTTGTTACAGCTATCTTTCCACCCCAGAGCATATGCCTGCCTGTTGTGAGGCTCAGCCAAATGCCAGTGGCTTCGTGAATTTTTATGGTCAATAAGCATGGGGGTGCTACCCGGTCCACTGCAAAACAGAGCAGGATAGAGTGGCTAGAAACCACTATACAATAAACCAGTTTGTAATTCATGGGGAGAGGTGTGGAGCAGTGGGGAGTTGCCATTCCCTGAGGTCCCAGTGAGGAGTTCCTCAGGGATACACACACGTGCCCCCACATTAACCTACACACATCAACACAGACACACTCCCGCCCCAGGGAGGGCCCCAGTGCTGTCTCCCACCCACATGGGATGCAGTCCACGCCTACCCTGTGGGGGGCACCTCCTGCTGCCTCAGTACTCCTTAGTGTCCCAGAGACAGGGCAGCCATGCTTGGTGCTGAGCTGTCCAGGACCTGGGTCATCCTTTCCCCTCTACCATTCTAGGAGAGCTGAGACTACTCCCCACACGAGACTGGGAGAGTGGCCATAAGTGACACTGGGAGAACAGTAAAGCCAGGGTGGACCAAAGGTGGGCATGAACCCCAGTTCTCCAAGCCCAGGTGACCGAGAAAGGGCAGGGTGTGAGACAGGTTGAGACAACACCTGGGAAACACCCACACTCCTGTGCGAATCCACCCCGAGACAAGCATTCACACACCCACATGCAGGCAGACGCATGCATGCTTGCATGTATGTGCGCGCGCACACACACACACACCAAGTATGCTCACCTACAGGCTGCACACACCTCCTCAGACATTCTCACTCCCACACACTCACCTACATACTCAGGGACCTTCCACCACTCTCCACATTCTAAGATTGTCCGGCAGTTTTCCCTCCACTAGCTGTCACCTCCACACAGTCCCACACATGTTTAGGTCCATAGCTCACACACACACACACACACACACACACACACACATGTATGCACGCTTTCTCACAAAGCCATAATTTAGGAAGGAAAAACACAAGCACCAACATGCATGTGTGCTTCCTCCACAGAAGGCATGCAACCCATATGCCTGCTTGCGCACCCATGTATATTCGCAGACATATCAACCTCTGCCCACATTCTAGTATTTGCTCTCTAGTCTCCTCTAGGCTCAGACACACAGACTTTGAAAATGTGTTTGTTTCTGGTCACACTCTGCCAGCCATGAGCCTTCACATGCCAACAGGTCCGCATACCTGTGCAGCTCTGTCCATAGACAGGGGCTTCTGCCCACACTCTCCACCTACCTACCTCCTTCTGCTCCGAGTCACACCTCCCACATAGAAACCCTCCATCAACATGTACTCCCACACATGACAAGGGATATGTCCACTCCATAAATATACTGCTTCACACTGTCCCCATTGACATGTACTCACAGGCTACTCAGGTAAGTGATCCCCTACACATGTGCTTCATGTGCACAAGAAACATATGTTCCTAGACATGCCACATAGCATCAAAACCCACACATGAACATAAGTACATGCAGACAGAACTATCTACGCAGGCAAACCTCCAGTCTCCAGCATGCATATATGGTGCACACACTGATGTGATACCCTTTGCCCATGCCTATTCAGAAAACCCAGCACATGCCAGAGGAAAAGCTGCCTCCCCCCCCCCGTTTCTGCTGGCATCGCTGACTGCAGCAGAATGGTCACGGGGTGACTAACTGTGGTGCCCTGGGGACCGGATCCAGCTGTTAACCCTTGGCCAAGGGCCTAGAGGAGAGGGGACAAGGTCCTTGGCCCTGGCAACCCAGGTGGGCACCGCAGGCAGTGGCAGGACACTGGTGCCCCCAGCTCCTAGCCCCTGGCCACCTGGGTCCCTCTCGGGATTGACAGCAGGATGCTCTGGGGAGGAAGGCACTCACCTGGCTCCACCGAGCTCTGCAGAGGAAGACCTGGGAGGGAGGGAAGGGAGAGGTCTCTGTGTGGATGGGCTCCCCAGGCAAAGGGGCAGCGGGCCAGATGCCGGGGTCACAGGCAGCAATGCTCCCTGGCTCCTCTTGCTCCTTTCCCGGCTGCGAAGGAGGCTTCTTCCATGCCCCACAAGAAGCCCCTGCCTGCTCCTCAGCACGCTGCTGCCCCAGGAGAGAGGCGATGTTCCCAGTCGAGCGCAAGGAGAGGCAAGAGCAAAATCAAAGCAGTGTGGAGGACAGAGAGGCAGAGAAGACGAGAAGGAAAGGGAGAGCCAGACCCAATCTGGCTCCACCAATGGGATCAGTGGCTGCCTAGCGTCAGGTGACAATAAGCAAGCTCGGTCCCAGTTCGCCGGGCTGGTGGGAGGGGTAAAGGGCAGAAGGTCTCAAAGGGAGCAACGCGGATGTCTTCCGAGACCGCGGCGGCAGCTGCCCCCTTTCCCGTTCTCCCAGGACATGTGCCCTGACAGAAGTCCCTCCAACACACCTCTCCTTGGAAATCTCTCTGTTGAATGCAGCCCCCAAACTTTAGGATGCTGGGAGAGGGGTGGGGCTTAGCCCAAGGGCTTGGGAGCCTGAAGCAAAAATTCTGGTTGGGGGAGGGGTGGCCGTGAAGGGGCAGGATCCATATGGGGCACGGGAGCGGGTATGTGTGTGGGATGGGGCGGAGACGCTGCAGTGTCAGTCTTAGTCTAGTTTCTTTCCTCTGGGCCCTTGGCTAATTCGTGGCTTCATTTTCTTACTAACTCTATCAAGAGATATCTTACAGAAGCCCAAGGAGCCCCGGTGGCCTAGGAAAAAATCATCTGACTGCTTAGGTGTTCCCAGAGAAAGGTACAAGAGAGAGAAGTTGTGGGGCTGTGAAGGGTGTGCAGAGGCAAGGAAGTGGGGGTGGGAGGGATACACAGAGTTTGGAGTATTCGCAATGTAGCCAACCATCTGAGCTCAGAGAAGCCAAGCCTTGAACGCACTGGCCAGAGAGAGTACTGTCTGCTAATAAGAATCTCCAGGGCCCTGGCCAGTTTGGCTCAGCGGTTAGAGTGTCAGCCGGTGGTTCAGAGAGACCGGGGTTCGGTTCCCGCTAGTGCATGTAACTTGGTTGCAGTTTATCCCTAGCCCTGGTTGGGGTCGTGGGGGAGGCAGCCACTCGATGTGTCCCTTCCACATCTCTCTCTCTCTCTCACATTGATGTTTCTCTCTCTCTCTCTCTCTCTCTCTCTCTCCCTCCCACTCTGTCTGAAGATAAATGTAAAATATCCTCCAGTGAGGATTAACAGGAGGTTTTTCTACCACCAAGAAATGAGGACCGGTTTGGCTCAGCGGTTGGAGCTCAGCCTGCGGACCAGAGAGTTCCGGGTTCGGTTCCCGCTAGAGGCATGTACCAAAAAAAAAAAAAAAAAAAAAAGAAAGAAAGAAAAAAAAAAGAAATGAGGACCCTGGGGATGCTGCCATGGAGAACACTCAAAGAAATTATAACCAAGCAACCAACAGTGAGACAACAGTGAGTGTGTGCAGTGTGGAAGCATGGACTTTGCAGTCAGACAGATATGGTTAAAATTCTTGCTTTATTACTTTCTAGCTAGGTGGTCTTGGACAAGTTACTCAACCTCTCAGAGCTTCAGTGTCTTAATCTGTAAAATGGAATAATAACACAAGTTTATTGTCATCATTGAATAAGATAAATATGTCAATCACTCAGCTCTGGGCCTGGTACACAAGGAGTGCCCAATCACCTTTCAGAGCTGTTATCACTGACATCATATCAATCTGTGTCTGCCTGCAGGGAGCTCACCGTCTTTTAGGGGAGAAAAGATGGACATTTAGAGACGTAATTAGGAAACAAGAAGTAGACAACTAAATTGCAGGATACAGATAAGATTTCTGAGGAGGAGTCAGGACCAGTTCCAGGGCACAGGTGGGGCCAAGCCAAGTGGAGACTTGTGGAAGCAGGAGTGTGGTGGGGGTGGGGAGGGCTTGGTGCAGAGACAGCAGTCAGGAGACAACAGACTGCAGGCAGGCCTTGGTGAGGACCTCTGAGAGCCAGAGTAGGCATGAACTAGGTACAACGGACATTCATTGAGAGGGACTCAGGGCTGCAAACATCAGCAGCAAAGGTTAAAGGAGGTGACAGTGGACAGAAAGTGAACAGTTCACTGAAAGCAGACAAGCAGAAGCCAATCCCATCCGAAATGGGTGTGGAGAACCTGAGCAGGTTTGGCCAGATCCTGAACCACAGAATGTGGTGTGGTGTGTCTCACTGAGGCAGGATTCAGCCCTCCCTTGGCCAACCCTACACTGAGATGGTGAAACTCCAAAGAGATGCAAAACATAATCTCATGGTGATGGCCAGCACCAGACAACTGGGCCAAAACTTGTCTCTGCAACCAACCTAAGGAATGGTGTAAGGGAAGGTCAAGTTCTCTGCACCTCAGTTTCCCCCTCTGTGAAAGGATGACTAGTCCCAGCACGGCTCTGCCTCCTACCTTGTCGGGATGGCATACAGAGAGCTCATGAGATCATGTGTCCAGAGCGAGCAGTGAACAATAGCCCTCTGAATGTGCTTTTGTAGAGCTGCGTGCTGGCACCAGGTGAAGGCACGGGCCTCTCAGGGTTTCTGCCTCTTCTTGCCTCAGAGGACTTCTCAGCAGATCACGAGGAAACACATGGTAGGAAGAAAGCATAGCATGCCAAACATAACTCACTCCACATGAAACCAAACCACTGCCAAGAGGCACTGCTGCTGCATTTTTATCTTTAATAGCTTTGTATTACATGAGTGATACGTAATCAGTACAGAAAGATGAGATTTAATTCTAAAATGTTAAGAGAATATTAAAGTCGCTTATGTCTTACTATTCAGATATAGGCAAATGAGATATATACCTAATTAACAAAAATAAAAAGTAGAAATGCTGTTTTATAACCTGCTTTTCTGAATTACCTACACCGTTTTTGTTCATTGCAGTCCTTCTACAATATTGTTCTCAACTGCTGTATATGTTCTGTTGTCAGGTCATGCACCCTTTTTCGGGGAGCCAATTCCCTCCTCTTCTGTGATTTTCTCCATTCTAAATAATACTGCAATGAAGATTCTTATAGAAAAACATCTTCCTGTGACTTAATTATATTTCCAGTAAAATATTAAGGAGTATAGACCATATTTGAATACTGATTTAAACAAACTGTTTCCAGAAAAAATCACCCTATGGGGCAACTGAGAAATTTGAATACTAACTGGATATTTGATAATGTTTACTAATTATTAGCTCTGATGATATTTTATAGTTATTATTTTAAAAGACTATCCCTCGGCCCAGCCAGAGTGGCTTAATGGTTGAGTGTCAACCCATGCACCGAGAGGTTTGATTTCTGGTCAGGGCACATGACCAGGTTATGGGCCCGATCCCCAGTGTGGGGCATGCAGGAGGCAGCCAGTTGATGTTCTCTCTCATGGATGTTTCTAACTCTCTCTCCCTCTCCCTTCCTCTCTCTCTCTAAAAATCAATAAAGAAAAAAAACTTTTTTCAATAAATAAATTTTAAAAAGACTATCCTTACGATTATATTATATTATGATATAATAATTTACAATACATGTTATACTTTTTTAAATCCTCACCCAAGGATATTTTTCCATTTATTTTCAGACAGAGTTAGGAGAGAAAGAAAGAGAGAAACATCAATGCAAGAGAGACACATCGATTGGTAGCCTCCTACAGGACTCCGACCACAGCCAGGGACTGAACCGCAACTAAAGTACATGCCCTTGACTGGAATGGAATCCATGACTCTTTGGTACATGGACTGACACTCTAACCACTGAGCCAAACCGGCCAGGGCCATATTACAATATTTATGGATGAACAGCATGGTATCTGTGATTTGGGGGAATGTGAGGGGGATAGATGAAACAAGATCAACAGGAGTGGATAACTTCAAGATTCAATAAGTGATTCCACTTTTGTACATGCTGGAAGTTTCCATATTAAATATTTTAGTTAAGCTATGATGATAATAATAACAAAGGCATATATCAAGTACCAAGACACAATGCAAGGTATGCGATTCTCAAAATTCTGAGAGGTGGAACCATCAACTGTACAGTACTTGGTATTTATTTATTTATTTAATTTTTATCCTCACCCAAGGACATTTTCCCATTTTTGTTCAGATAGAGTGGGAGGGAGAAAGAGGAACAGAGAGAGAGAGAGAAACATCGATGTGAAAGGCTGATGGGCCCTGGCCGGTTTGTCTCAGTGGTTAGAGCATTGGCCCTCGGACCAATGAGTCATGGGTTCGATTCTCGGTTGCAGTTTGGCCCAGCCCGGGTCAGGTCAGGCAGGAGGCAACCAGTCGATGTAGCTCTATCACATTGATGTTTCTCTCTGTCTCTCTCTCTCTTTCTCCCTCCCACTCTAGCCAATAATAAATAGAAAAATATCCTCGGGTGAGGAATTAAAACAAAAACAAAAACTGATAGTGGGCCAGATTGGTGTGGCTCTGGATTGAGCATCGCCCCATGCACCAAGAGGTTGCTCCTCAGATTCCTGGTCAGGACACATTCCTGGGGTTGTGGGTTCAATCCCCAGTAGGGGGCGTGTAGGAGGCAGCTGATTTATGCTTCTCAATTAAAAGGCTGATGGTGGGGGCCAGTGGTTCACCGGCTTGGTTCCCAGTCAAGGGCACATACCTGGGTCGTGTGGAAGGCAACCAGTGGATGATGTTTCTCTCTCTCTCTCCCTCCCCTCCACTCTATTTCTATCTAAAAATCAATGGAAAAATATCCTCAGGTGAGGATTAACAACAAAAAAAGGCTGATGGTGGGAAATAAGACTTAGTCCATAGGATGTAAAATTAGATTTAAATTCAGATGTGAGCACAAAGGTTGGTTTTTCAGAGCAAATGTAGAGTCTGATATAACAGAGACAAGGCTGTAAGTGGGGGGAAAACAGTCTTAGTACCGCTTATGCACTTTATAGACTCAAAATGTGTACGTGCATTTCCCCATGGTTGAACTAAATGTGGAGATCTCATGGGCCAATGAACGCGTGCACATCCAGAATGCCCAGAAAAACCACCCTGTTCATTTACATGTGTTGACAGTGACAGCAGTGGGCAATGACTTCATAAGAACTGCATGAATTTCTCAGTGCTTATTTACTTTATCATTTTGAAACTATGTTTAGACCTCTTACAACCCTCAGCAGTCACCTATTTTGAATTTACCAAACAGCATTAAAGTA